GTATATGCAGGAGAAGAGGGAGGCGGGTATGACAGCGGGCAGAATATGCAGGAAAAGAGGGAGGCGGGTATGACAGCGGGCAGAATATGCAGGAAACGAGGGAGGCGGGTATGACAGCGGGCAGAATATGCAGGAAAAGAGGGAGGCGGGTATGACAGCGGGCAGTATAGGCAGGAGAAGAGGGAGGCGGGTATGACAGCGGGCAGAATAGGCAGGAGAAGAGGGAGGCGGGTATGACAGCGGGCAGAATAGGCAGGAGAAGAGGGAGGCGGGTATGACAGCGGGCAGTATATGCAGGAGAAGAGGGAGGCGGCGGGTATGACAGCGGGCAGAATATGCAGGAAAAGAGGGAGGCGGGTATGACAGCGGGCAGAATATGCAGGAAAAGAGGGAGGCGGGTATGACAGCGGGCAGAATATGCAGGAAAAGAGGGAGGGTATGGGGGTATGACGGGTAGACAGGCAGAATAGGCAGGAGAAGAGGGAGACGGGTATGGCAGCGGGCAGAATAGGCAGGAGAAGAGGGAGACGGGGATGACAGTGGACAGTATATGCAGGAGAAGAGGGAGACGGGTATGACAGTGGACAGTATATGCAGGAGAAGAGGGAGGCGGGTAAGACAGTGGGCAGTATATGCAGGAGAAGAGGGAGGCTGGTAAGACAGTGGGCAGTATATGCAGGAGAAGAGGGAGGCGGGTAGGAACAGTAGGCAGAATATGCAGGAGAAGAGGGAGACGGGTATGACAGTGGGCAGAATATGCAGGAGAAGAGGAAGACGGGTATGACAGTGGGCAGTATATGCAGGAGAAGAGGGAGGCGGGGTAGGAACAGTGGGCAGAATATGCAGGAGAAGAGGGAGGCGGGTAGGAACAGTGGGCAGAATATGCAGGAGAAGAGGGAGGCGGGTATGACAGTGGGCAGAATATGCAATAGAAGAGGGGGGCGGGTATGACAGTGGAGTGCAAGAGTGGGAGGATATGGCAGCAGATAACACAGGTGAGGAGTGTGAGTGAGTAGGATATGACAGCAGGCAGTATGTGTAGAATAGTTGTGCAGAGTGTATGGCAGTGGGTAGTATGTACAAGAGAGGAATGTTGAAGCTACAAAAGAGGTTAGTATATGCAGGAGATAATTGTACAGTGTATGACAGGGGGCAGTATGTGCAGGAGAGGAGTATGGAGGGTACGACAGCGGTATGTGCAGGAGAGATTTATATAACCTATGACAGCAAGCAGTATGTATAGAATAGGACTGTAAAATGTATGATGAAAGACAATATGTGTAGGAGAGGAGTGCAGAGGGTATGCCAGGGGGCAATCTATGCAGAAGGGAAATTATGCAGGATATGACTGGATTGTATGATGGGAACCAACATGTGCAGGAAGGGAGTACAGAGGGTATAACAGTAGGCAGTATGTGCAGTAGTGAGTTTAGAGGTATAATGGGGGCAATATGTGCGGGAAAGAACTGTGGAAAGACAGATTTATATGCAGGAGGAAAGTGTGGAGGATATTACAGTGGGAAGAACAGTTAATCTTATGACTCACAAATGGTTACCGATCTTTCCATTATTAGCAACAAAATCACTTAAGGGTATGGCCATAGTCATACAGGTGAATGACAGTGGAGGAGAAAAGTGCTCCATATTGCATTTGGCATCCATTTACAAAACATATTTATTTTTAAATATCAAGCAGAACCATTGAAGCTGAACTCTTTACACCAGCGGTTCTCAACCTGGGGGGTCGCGACCCCTTTGGGGGTCGAACGACCATTTCCCAGGGGTCGCCTAAGACCATCGGAAAACACATATTTCCGATGGTCTTAGGAACCGAGACACCGCTCCTCTCTCCGGCGATGTGTGGGCGGGATGATACGCTGCTCCTGTCACCTGGCCACACCTCCGGGATCGCTCAGCAGCTCCGCCTCCTCGCCGCTGATTGGCCACCGGAACTGTAGCTCAGGAGAGGCACACAGGCGGCCAATCACCGGCGAGGAGGTGGAGCTTGGAGAGGAGGAGCCGAGCGGCAGCGCGCGTACATCAAAGAAGATCGAGGGAGCTGCCGGAGCGAGTGAAGAGGAGAGCGGCCAGAGAAGGAAGACAGCTGACAGGTAAGTGAGAGAGCGAGCCCAAGCTGTCACTAATACCAACGATGGGGCACTATTCCTCCCCCCACTGACACCAACGATGGGGCACTATTCCTCCCCCCACTGACACCAACGATGGGGCACTATTCCTCCCCCCACTGACACCAACGATGGGGCACTATTCCTCCCCCCACTGACACCAACGATGGGACACTATTCCTCCCCCCACTGACACCAACGATGGGACACTATTCCTCCCCCCACTGACACCAACGATGGGGCACTATTCCTCCCCCCACTGACACCAACGATGGGGCACTATTCCTCCCCCCACTGACACCAACGATGGGGCACTATTCCTCCCCCCACTGACACCAACGATGGGGCACTATTCCTCCCCCCACTGACACCAACGATGGGGCACTATTCCTCCCCCCACTGACACCAACGATGGGGCACTGTTCCTCCCCCCACTGACACCAACGATGGGACACTATTTCCCCCCCCCCCACTGACACCAACGATGGGACACTATTTCCCCCCCCCCTGACCCCAATGATGGGGCACTATTCTCCCCTCCACCACACTGACATCAATGATGGGGCACTATTCCTCCCACTGACACCAATGATGGGGCACTATTCCTCCCCCCACTGACACAAACGATGGGACACTATTTCCCCCCCCCCCTGACCCCAATGATGGGGCACTATTCTCCCCTCCACCACACTGACATCAATGATGGGGCACTATTCCTCCCACTGACACCAATGATGGGGCACTATTCCTCCCCCCACTGACACCAACTATGGGACACTATTTCCCCCCCCCCCGACCCCAATGATGGGGCACTATTCTCCCCTCCACCACACTGACATCAATGATGGGGCACTATTCCTCCCACTGACACCAATGATGGGACACTATTCCTCCCACTGACACCAATGATGGGGCACTATTCCTCCCACTGACACCAATGATGGGGCACTATTCCTCCCACGGACACCAATGATGTGGCACTATTCCTCCCACTGACACCAGTGATGGGGCACTACTCCCACTGACACCAGTGATGGGGCACTACTCCCCCCCACTGACACCAGTGATGGGGCACTACTCCCCCCACTGACACCAGTGATGGAGCACTACTCCCCCCACTGACACCAATGATGGGGCACTACTCCCCCCACTGACACCAATGATGGGGCACTACTCCCCCCACTGACACCAATGATGGGGCACTACTCCCCCCACTGACACCAATGATGGGGCACTACTCCCCCCCCCACTGACACCAATGATGGGGCACTACTCCCCCCACTGACACCAATGATGGGGCACTACTCCCCCCACTGACACCAATGATGGGGCACTACTCCCCCCACTGACACCAATGATGGGGCACTACTCCCCCCACTGACACCAATGATGGGGCACTACTCCCCCCACTGACACCAATGATGGGGCACTACTCCTCCCACCGACACCAATGATGGGGCACTACTCCCCCCACTGACACCAATGATGGGGCACTACTCCCCCCACTGACACCAATGATGGGGCACTATTCCTCCCACTGACACCAATGATGGGGCACTATTCCTCCCACTGACACCAATGATGGGGCACTATTCCTCCCACTGACACCAAGGATGGGGCACTATTCCTCCCACTGATACCAACGATGGGGCACTATTCCTCCCACTGATACCAACGATGGGGCACTATTCCTCCCACTGATACCAACGATGGGGCACTATTCCTCCCACTGATACCAACGATGGGGCACTATTCCTCCCACTGATACCAACGATGGGGCACTATTCCTCCCACTGATACCAACGATGGGGCACTATTCCTCCCACTGACACCAGTGATGGGGCACTATTCCTCCCACTGACACCAGTGATGGGGCACTATTCCTCCCACTGACACCAGTGATGGGGCACTATTCCTCCCACTGACACCAGTGATGGGGCACTATTCCTCCCACTGACACCAGTGATGGGGCACTATTCCTCCCACTGACACCAGTGATGGGGCACTATTCCTCCCACTGACACCAGTGATGGGGCACTATTCCTCCCACTGATACCAACGATGGGGCACTATTCATCCCACTGACATCAGTGATGGGGCACTACTCCTTCCACTGACACCAATGATGTGGCACTACTCCTCCCACTGCAAAATTACAGTTATGAAGTAGCAACGAAAATAATTTTATGGTTGGGGGTCACCACAACATGAGGAACTGTATTAAGGGGTCGCGGCATTAGAAAGGTTGAGAACCACTGCTTTACACAAATGGTTTTGACAAAGGAATAATAGATGTTAAAATCAGCGTCTGGGAATCGGGGCTGCTAAAATTAAAGCAAGTTATACTGGGACAGTGGTTATTCAGAAACAGGTTATTAGCAGGGCCTGTTCCAGGGAGTCCAGGAATGGTGGAACTATTGCTGGGGACATGAAGGCTGAGGCAGGGCTTTCTTGCTGGGATTGTTTGAACAGTAAATGGGGTAGCAGAGTGACAATTCCCCTCGGATCAGAGTTATTGGAGATGAGACTAATATTTGACACGGTGCACTGATTAAATGTGAGGGATTATTGCAACATATGTTGAAGACTGGGTGCTGAGGGGTTTTACGCAGCTAAGGACTGGCTTCTCAGGGGTAAATGCACGTGTTAGGTATTATCAGCCAAGAGATTAATGCACAAAAGCAGAAACTGTACATAAGCAGAAGAACAGGCGCTAAGAGATTAAAGCACATATATTGGGTATATTACCTTCATGGGCTGGGTATGTGTTGATGAGAAGCTAGCATGCATGCCTGGGAACTGAGCACTGAGGAGATTATGCAAATAGGCTGAGGACTTTGCATGGAGGGGTTATCACATGTACTATATTGCCAAAAGTATTGGGACACCCCTCCAAATCATTGGATTCAGGTGTTCCAATGAGCTCCATGGCCACAGGTGTATAACCCCTTCACGCCTAAGGGTAAAACAAATCTAAATGCCTAAGCACAATTCTGCAACGTTGATGTGTTAGTAAAACCGTACATATCGTCACAACTACTTTGTACATCCAGGTGGATTATACCTTGTTTTTTTCAGGACAAATTGGGCTTTCATTTGGTGGTAAATGGTCATGGATAGCTCCTAATTTTTTTTTATTATTAAAGGAAAACTGGGCCAAAATAGTAAAAAAAATCATTTTTTTTAAATTTAACTGTGTGTTTCTTGTTACGACCATAACCTACCACCAAAGAACAACCCAAAATACATTCTCCAGTTCTTGACGATCGCAGCGATACCATATATGTGTATGTTATTTGTTGTTTGTACCCGTAGTACAGTCCAGAAACAACAGTGCGCATTTTGTTTTTGTCTTTTTTTTAAATATAAAACACACTGTCACTGACATTGACATTAACACTAACTGACACTGATACCAATTTTTTTTTAAAATCCTGACCTTTGACCCTGACCTTTGCCCTTGACCCTGACCTTTGACCCTGACCTTGACCCAAACACTAACCCTGGTACTGAACTAGATCAAACCTTGATCTAGGTATTTTTCTTTATTTTTTCTTTTATTTTTTAATATTTATTTATTTATTTATTTTTTTTTTTTTACAAACTTTTTTTTTATCTCTCTATGTCAGGAGTTCGAGAGATACAATGTATCTCTCTTCTCCATTCATAGAGAGAGAGAAAACAAGGGGGCCGGGCTGCACAGTGAGTGATCACTGTGATAGCCTATCAGAGGCTATCACAGCGATCACGTGACCCGGAATCGGGAGTCCCGGGTCCCGATCATTAGAACGGGACCCGGGGCTCTCAGTGACACCGCGGTCTTGGTGCTGGGAGCGCGCCGAGCGGCGCGCTCCCAGCACAAAGACAGGTACGCAAATATGCGGCCCCACGGAAAAAAGCCCAGGTCCGTGAGGCCGCATATTTGTGTTACGTCGGCGTCAAGGGGATAACATCAAACACCTAGGCATGCAGACTGCTTCTACAAACATTTGAGAGAGAATGAGTCGCTCTCAAGAGCTCAGTGAATTCAAACGTGGTACCGTGATAGGTTGCCACCTGTGCAATAACTCCATCCATGAAATTTCCTTGCCACTAAATATTCCACAGTCAACTGTTACTGGTATTATAACAAAGGTAGAAGCAACTGGGAACAACAGCAACTCAGCCATGAAGTGGTAGGCCACGTAAAATAACAGAGTGGGGTAAGTGCATGCTGAAGCACACAGTGCGCAGAAGTAGCCAACTGTCTGCAGTTCTCTGGAGTGATGAATCACTCTTCTCTGTCTGGCAATCCGATGGACGTATCTGAGTTTGGTGGTTACCAGGAGAACGGTACTTGCCTGACTGCATTGTGCCAAGTATAAAGCTTGGTGGAGGGGGGATTATGGTGTGGGGTTGTTTTTCAAGGATTGGGCTTAGCCCCTTAGTTCCAGTGAAGGGAACTCTTAAGGTGTCAGCATACTAAGACATTTTGGACAATTTCATGCTCCCAACTTTGTGGGAACAGTATGGGGATGGCCCCTTCCTGTTCCAACATGACTGTGCACCAATGCACAAAGCAAGGTCCATAAAGACATGGATGAGCGAGTTTGGGGTGGAGGAACGTGACTGGCCTGTCAGTCAGTCAGCCATTTCTCTCAGCAACTTGTTCTGAAGAAGTCTGCAATGATCGGCAGACAAAACGCATCAACGTAATGATTTCATCACACCTGGAAGTAGCGCTCCACGAGGTCTGCACATCGGACATGTGAGGATAACTTCATGACACAAGGGCTGCAAAACTACAATAATACATCGGTTTACAAATTTAATTTGTTCTGCAGGACTTTTCGTATAGCGAAAAATTTGTAATAAAATACAGCATGAGTTTATTTTATCAAGTCATGCGGTATATTATTAGTGACAACCATGTGTTAATGTTTCAGCTGTCGGTGGGGTTCCCCACTGACAGCTGAATGTAAAAGAATTGCTGGCAATTAAAAAAAAATAATTAAAACAATTTAAAAAATGGTGTGGGGTCCCCCCACCCATCCATACCAAGCCCTTCGGATCTGGTATGGATTTTTAGGGGAACTCTCACACCAACAATTTTAAAAAAATGGTGGTGGGGGTCCCCCCCAAAATCCATACCAGACCCTTATCTGAGCATGCAGCCCGGCAGGTCAGGAAAGGGGGGGGCAAGCGAGCATGAGCGCCCCCCCTCCTGAACCATACCAGGCCACATGCCCTCAACATGGGGGGGTGCTTTGGGGCAGGGGGTGCTCCCCCCCAAAGCACCTTGTCCCCATGTTGATTGGGACAAGGGCCTCTTCCCCACAACCCTGGCCGGTGGTTGTGGGTGTCTGCAGGCAGGGGGCTTATTGGAATCTGGAAACCCCCCCTTAGCAAGGGGGACCCCAGATCTCGGCCCCCCCCATGCGAATGAGTATGGGGTACATGGTACCCCTACTCATTCACAAAAAATAAAAAGTGAAAAAAAGACCGGACACGGTCTTTGAGAAGTCCTTTATTAAAAGAAGAAACTAAAATAATGTCCCCCGCAGTAGATCCAGCATCAATGACGATGCCCGCCATCACCGCCGACCTGAAAAAAAGAAGGGGACGAGGCTTTCCAGCTGTCTGCCTCTGAGGTGGCAATTCCTCTCTTAACATATGTGTGGTCTTCCTACTTGCTAAAAATTGGCTCCAATCGCTATATCCATTACACACAGGACTGTATGGATTTCAATAGCTCTTATCATCACATAGATGCTCGCTTGGATATATATCTGACTTAGTCTGCATCACTCTGTCCTTATACCCTAACTTTGATGGACATGTACTTTGCTTCTCAATCACCTAGGATGTTCACTTCATAGTGGCCACATCATTAACCCACTCTCTACTTGTTTACCATGACTTACAGTCTAAAAAATGTGCACCAACGAATAGAGACTTCATACTGTTTATCACCTGCCTAAGGAATTACCAGTATTGCCTAACTTTTGCTCCTAATCAGGAACACTGGTGTCCATTATTATACTGTATATCACCACTGTCCATATGGACACTGTATAATTCTTTGCGCTTTGCAATCCTGATAGCTTTTTGGTTTTAATAGTGTTTATGTGGTTGTGTATGATATTCACTGTCTGCAGATATCATTCCCCCTTTTTAATTGGGAAGTTAATAAAAATGTGTTTTTACATGTGAGCTAGCCTGAGTGTATTACTACCTACTTAGGTAGCTTGCTTCTTTCCCCAAGTTGTGACAGCCAGGTGCACAGCAACAGTCACTCTTTCTGGCTCAATAAACAGTCTAGGGGTGTCTATTGATTCTTTATTGTAAACTTGAACTTGGTTGGGGTGCAGGGGAATTGTGGGATACTCCAGCAACACCAGAAAGCAATAAGAGGACACTCTTCTCTTTACCAAAACCTCTCAATTCAGTCCCTGTAGTAGCCACCAAGGGAATGAGTAACATTGAGACCCCATAAGAACTGTTCCAATGTAAGCACACTCTGGCACTGATGCACAAGGCATAGAAGCAGCAAAAATTCACTAGGATCCTATACACAGGTCTGTACTTACAATGCCCTTGGATACTTTGATGCCTCCTTCAAATATCAGTCAGCCATTTCTCTCATGAACTCTCCAGATCCGATACTCGGTGAAATCCCTCAGTTAGCTCCATACATTCTCAGAAAAACGGACCCCCCCAGCTCTAGCATAGCTGGGATCTTGATGAGCACATGTAGACCCTCAGCTGGGCTAACTAGAAGCCCTTCAGGCTGGGAATGTTTCCTCCTAGACAAGAACAGGTCTGCCTCAGACCTGGCTATTTATGCACTCCCCAGCCACCTACTGGACACCCACTCCCAGGGATTGGCTGAGATGACAAATACCCAGGCTGCTGATCCGCCTCTACGAACCCACTACATTCTAGAACCCTCCAGAAAGCAGGAGGAAGGAGTCAAATCTGCGGTCAGCAAAGCCCAGAACATCCCAAAGCAATCACAAACTGTTCCACTGATCACAGGGGAGCCAAAGTTTGCCTAGCCTTTCTATCACCTTATCTAGGAGAGTGCTACACCCTTATTCATTAAGTAAGGTGCTCCCACTCGCTGAAAACATTATTGTATTGTTCATTGGGAATATATTGCTGCAGCTTACAATGACAAAACAGTCCCCACATCCAAGTCTGAATTTACTGCTAAATTTAGCCCGGCTAAAGCCTTCCTTCTGGGGTTTTCCTTCTAATTTGAACAAAAGACTTTGATTTAAGTTTTACGTGAGCTCATAAATTAAAACTTTATTGATTTGTTAAAGAGCGGAGATAAAGCAATGTGCATAATTAATCCTGTGTAATGATCAGCAGTGTTCACAGAATTAGAAGATATCCTTGTACCAAGCCTGCCATTTTAGTGACCTTTACCAAGTTAAAATTTAAACATTTAGACCTATAAATAAAGACTTGCATAGTTGCTATAGCAACCCAAAAACTCTGGCATAGTGTCCTGTTTCCTGGGACTGAGAAAATATTCCTTTAAATTATACAATATTTTAAACGGAAATAGCTACAAGGATCTGTTTGCAAATTCTCCACTACAAACATAGGGAAAATATTGTGCTGGCCAAAAGAGGTACATCTAGGATGGCAGGTATATATCCCCCTCTTTCTTTTTGTGCAGCAGGTTCTGGGCTCTAAGGGCTTGTTCACACCTTTGACAGCCCTTGCTGCCTCTATGAAAAGTGTTTAGTAACACTGTAATGTCAAAGTGAAAACACATCTCTGCAAAGTGATTTAAATACACCTCTTTATTATGGTACACATAAATCTTTACTGGTACAGCCAGTTCTTTTCCCAGATCATGTAATAGTCACAGTAAATGGAGATCTCCTGTGTGTAGCCAAGAGGATTCAAGTGATTGCAGTATATATACATATGTATCTAGGAGGTCCAGCTTCTGATGGGTCAGTACTGAAGTGTGGCATAACCTACAACATGGAGACAAAAGAACCCACCAAACAACCCTTAGAAATGTGATTTGAAAAACACGAATTGAGATGGATAAAATAAATTGCCCAAGTAATTGAATATCTCTTAGAGTACAGTTAAATCAACCAATAAGAATTGGAAAAGTATGATGCAGCTGGGAAAATATTGGCTTGCACAAAGTAAAATATTTGGTTCAGTCTGCAAGAATCCTGAGCTCAGACTAAAGATTTGTCTACAGCTGGACATTTGGGTTGATTTACTAAAGGCAAATAGGCTGCTAATTGTTCAAGGGAAGTTGCACCTTGCAAGGGAATTTTCTCCAGAGCTTAGTGAATAAGGTGAAGCTCTGCTGGCTTCCATCATCAATTCATGTGCAAGCAAAAATGTTTTTTTGGGGTTTTTTTTTAGCCTTTAGTAAATCAACCTCAATGACTCTAAACACAAAGCCAAGCCTACACAGGAATGGTTTGAAAACCAGGATGTTTCAATGAATATCCTAGAATGGCCAAGCTAAAGTCCAGATGCCAGTCCATTAGAGAAAATGCAACTGTACATGAAAAAATTTGTTTACTCACAATCTCTTCACAATTTGACAAAGCTGAAGCAGTTTTGCAAAGCCTTTGCAAAGCGTAATAGGTAAATATTACGATGTTCAATGTGAAAAAGCTATAAAAGATTTTTCCACACCTAATAAAGGATTGAATTACTGCATAAGTGCACATACAATTGTATTTTGTTGTGTTTGACATTATAGACTATTTCTGTTCATCAGTGAACATACATACATACATACATACATACATACATACATAAATAACAAAATTAAATTCACTGTGATTTAAAGCTCCATGGAAATAAAACCTTCAAACTTCCAAGGCAGGGAAGGTATTATATAATGGCACAGAGTATGTGAAGTAACACTAACTAGTCACTAGGTGAAGTATATATTGTATAGAAATGTAAATGGTTGTAAAGGCTCTCTCTTCTGTCACTCCTCTATGGCTTAGATGCAGGAGCCATTGGCTCCTATTGCTTTCAATCACAGTCAGTAAGGAGGGAGAGGGGTGGGGCCACGCCAGGGTCTATGTGTCTTATGGACGCACATGGATGGCCCAGGAGTGAGCATGTATTGGTGCCCCCATAGCAAGCTGCTTCCTGTGGGGGCACTCAGCGGGGAGAGGAGCCAGGAGTGTTAGTGGGGGACTCGAATAGGAGGATCAGGGCTGCTCTGTGCAAAACCACTGCACTGTTTGCTGTTTGTTATTTAAAAAAACAAACAAACAAACATTTAGTATCACTTGAAAGTAGAACTATAGGCAAA